AAGTTCTTGAATTTAAGAACCAAGGATTTTGAACTCTTGTTTTGTACCATTATACAAAACAAGAGTCTAGAGTTCCTCAATCTAGAGATAAAGGTAGAGCTTTCTAGTGTCTGGGTAAAAAGGAGAATGAAATAAATTGAAAGGAAAAAGTGGATGATCAATTAAACATTTTCTCTTGATTAAGAAGAATAAATAGGTCCATTCCAAGAGGAAAATATTTATCTACAGAAAACAAAAGCAGGAGCAGGATATTAGTGCAAGCAATCTTATTTTATATAAAAGGAGAGAGACAACCTAAATTCCATTTTAATTAAAGACTGCAACACAGCTTCCTGAGCATTAGTCTCCTTGCTATGTGACAAGTAGGGAGAATTCCTCCTCACTCCATCACCTGTACATTCAGAAGAAGAATGAAAAGTCCAACAAAACAAAAGGTGTCACATCAGAAGATCCAAATGTACATGTTGAAAATAAATTCTAGACCACAGGATCTCCTCAACTAAAGGCTGAATAGACAATGCTTTTAATTCTTGCTGGTACAAAGCTATTTAGTGTAAATCAGTGCTTTTGAATTATTTCATAAATTGAGGGTAGCAGACACGTGTACATGTATGCATGAGAATGATAATACAATAGTGACAGAATATTATACTCTGAACATCAAATATCATTGCATAAGACTGGACTTATAAGAAGGGTGGATGAATTAGGCTAATTTTATCATCATACATGGTCTAAAAGTACCTTTTAACTAAACAATCCCTAGTATCTTTTTGGTCTGTAGTCATTTTTCTCTTCTCAGAAAAGCCAAATACTGAGCAGAACTAATTTTATGGAGACTTCTGGTTGGTTAGGTGTTTATTAGTCAATGTTTCTTTGAGGAAACTGACATTAACAGACACATGTATAACACTAACATTTAGGGTATCATAAAGAATTCATTATCTAACACTCCATATTTATGATGATGTGTAAAGAAGCAAATATCCTCAAAACAAGAAAATATTAACTAATGAAGTGATCTCAAATAAAAATGCCATCACTGAAAAATTCTTTCCTTTAACAAGAGTTTTTGTCTCCCACCTAGTGTGTCCAACTCTTTTACGGAAAATCATAGGCAAAGACAGTGATAAATAAGCTGATAGAGTTATATCAGAATAAAAAACTGACAAGGATGAAGACAGAAAGACAGGAAAATACAAAAATGAAAAGAAAACTAAGAAAGCCTTTTGTGGATTTTTAATGACCTTTTTATTTTGAAAGCCATTCATTGACCTAGGCTACAATTTTACTGTAAAAGTTGCCCCTTCCTCCAAAAGAGCATATGATTCTTTACTCTAAGAAGTAGCACAAAGTTGCTAAAACCTAAATTGTGTTAACTATAAGATAAAGTAAACTTACCATTGTAATTTTAGTTTCTTTTTCCCCAATCTAATCTTTTATTTACCATGAAATTTTGGCTCCCATTTTAAATAATGTTCTATTATCCCAGGATAAAAGGGACCCCTTGAACTAAATAGTGGTCTACCTTAAAATGTAGTTTCAAAACATTTTATACAGATTTGTGGATGCAAAAATATTTAATGAGGAAATAGGACATAATCATAATCTTTTAAAGTTAACAGAAGGTAATATATACTCTCATAAAATATCCCTTGATATCATCAGTGTGAGAATACTTGATTAGCTTGAATGTGGATCAGACCAAGTTCAGATCCTATTACGGTTTAACAATATTTTTACAGGGTTATTTCATTTCCTTCACAAAGATTTAAATATTGCCTTTAGAAAAGTCACTATTATAATATCAAGAGAATATTTTCAGAGTAACTAATAAGAGATTAATGAGAGCTTTATGACAGTAAGGACAATATTATGAAACTCTATTTTCATAATAGAGTTTCATAATGACTGAAATTTAAGATGATAAACTGTTTCAGAATAAAGTGGTTTACATAGGGGTTGAATGGACATCCTCATCTGTAATAGACTATTTATATACACTTCACACTCCAAAAGTGTTGTTCACCATACACATTTCCCCTTACTTCCCATTAAGCAAGATACTACTCTGGTAGGAGGAAAAGAGTAAAGACAAAAAACAGAGTATGAGATCTCCCAGGGAGAACTGGAAATGGTAGGAAAGTGTGCCTAAACCAGGACCAAAGTAAAAAGTTATAAATAATTGGATGTCTTCAGATTCTATCATTGACATGTTTGGGAAGTATCCCTCTAGAAGTATGTATAGGTATACCCACAAAGGTGTCCATCTGCAAAGTGGGTGAGTGTACAGAGCAAGAGCAAAGTGGACTTTTCAAACACTTCTGACAATCCACTATGGAGTGAGTCCTGTCAGTCATGAACAAGAGTTATGTCAAGTGCTCTGGCAAAACTGAAGTAATGGAGTGTAATGAGAATGCCCTTAGGAGGGGCCACAAGTCTAACACTTGAATAAAGACTCCACCTGGACACCTATATGCATGGGACCTCCACCCCTGGCGGGCTATAAGAAGTCAGAGCTCTGACCACCCAACACTCAAGCCTGGCTGTACCACAGGTCACGCTCAGAGCCCTGCTGGACTTCCACTCCACCGGACGTGTGCCACCACTGGAGCCACCCGGCTTGGGACTGATGCCTGCCTGTCCACCTGCAGACACCGCCAATGACCAGGACTTCAGGCGGGACCCTCAGTCTGCTCACTTCTATCATGTAAGCTTCCTCCTGCGTGTGACTCTACTGGCTTACTGGGGAGGCCTCCACTAATAAACCTGGCATTGTAAAAAGATATAAATGTGTATGAGTAACTCCTTTTGAGGATGCTCCGTTGTTCACCAACAGTGGGTGATAAGGTTGCATGCCTGAGGTTTAGTAACTGATAATGGTCCCAGAGCAATGAAAGCAGAGTGGGAATGATGTTTTGTCAGCTTGGTGAAATAAGGGCTGATCAAATGTTTTCTATAAAGTCTACATTATTCATATATTTCTGGGATACCAAAGCTAGAAAAAAACCTCACCTCAAAATTATACAAATTCATTCTGGCACTGACTACTTTCCACTCTTTTACTGCTAGTTATTTACAGGTCTTACTCCTATTAATAGGTCATAAGCTTCTTGACATCCACACCTGATTTACCTTCACAGCTCTTACAGCACCTCATTCAGTGCTCAATGAATTTCAACAGATACACCATTGATTGCCACTCAGAAGATATAACAGAGGTACAAATATATCATTTAATTGAAGCTAAGAATTGACATGCAGAGGATAGAGGATACAAAGAACATGATATTTAGTTTTTTTTTTAAAGCAGTGACATGCATGCCCTAGATTGTACTGCTTTTCAAAAATTGATGACAATTATTATTTTTGGTTGTAACTAATGCTTGACGATATGCCTTATAAGATGAATGCACAGAGAGGTCTTTATGCTCGTGCCAAGGTTACGCTTTGCTTTACTGTTGGCAGCCACTCTTTTCAGTGGATCACCATTGGTCTCTTGGTCACCTGTGGCTAGCCCAAAGCCACTGCTTAGGAAGTGGTCCCAGAGTGAGCTGACCTGGGACTATTGTTTCCTGTTAAACCACAGGAACATCATTTGAAGCGTCTTTCTTTCTTTCCCTCTTCCTCTCCTCCCTCTCTTTCTTTAGAGAGAATGAGCTAAAAACATTTTTTATTGCCTTCTCTTTAAGGCTGCCAGGACAATGGCTGCTGTGCATGTGCCCCACATAACCAGCACACCAGAGTCAGGTTATATCAAGTACCACTGACTCTACACCACAGAAGTGAGCCCTTTTTGTTATTTAATGTTTGCCGAGTCTCTAAGGTAAGGGTGATGAAACTGTTCACAACTATAGAGGCTGCTGTCTTACAGCAGTCAGTCAACATGTGCTGATGAAAATAGGCTGTGACTGCTACTGTCATACTTGTAATTAGATATGAAGGGTGATGCTATGCTGGTGACTCGTAAGCCTGGACACTATTTTTCAAATGGCAGGTTGTGAGTCATCAGTAGTGAAATCAATGTATTTGATGCCACAATAAGCATTTACATAAATTATATGACCAGAAAAGAATAGAAAATGAAGAACCTCATATAGTAAAATAAAGCAATTTTGTGACACATTTCCTTCAGTTACATATAGGACATTATATATGTTGATACTGGGTTAGGATGTAAAATGTAAAAAAGTATCTCTACTATGGGTCCATGTCAAAAAAAATTACAAAAATGCTGCCTAGAGCTTCTCAAACAACATGAGTGCCTTCATAGTCAGTTTTTCTACTTGGCTGTCTTTAAATGGCCAATAGTCTATATTTAAAACCCAATAAACTACTGAAATGCTTTATTTATTTTTTTGATGCATCACTTTTTTTACATGACTTTTTTTTTTAAAAAGGGGAGTTATTTTAACCTTTTTTACCTAGCATGGGATAATTTTAATACTGTATTGGAAATGGTCTGGGTAGGTGACCAAGTCCTCCAAGTATAGTATTTCCCCTTGAAAGATTTTTATTCTCCCAATGACTTAATATAAAATCACTCTTTTGATACCATCTATGTACCACTTCTTACATGTCTAACAGACTAGAAACCGGATATCACAGTTCCTCATACTAAAGCCTTTTACACAGGGCTTGCTATTTGTGTGAATCCACAGAAACATTTACTTCAAATCAATTTCCTTATTTTAATAATATTTAGAAACAACATAAAATAAATAGCATGCTTTCTATCCAGCACATGAAGCAAGTTTTCCAATATCAACTGTACATTAAAATACAAGATGAGTTTTCTAATATCATGAGATTTGAAAGATTCACACTGAAGGAACTAAAATTTTCAAAGCAAAGTATGATAGAAAATAAGCTATATTCTCTATCTAATATTGAGACTTTATAATTTCAGGAATAGAGTGTAATCAGCTCAATCCCATATCTTCCACATTCTAGTCATAGAAATTAAATATATAATTTATATACAGAAAAAATATATATACCTTCGCTATCCTTGAATTTCTTGATTGCCACAATTTCATGTGTTTCCTGCAAAGGAAAAAGAGGCAGAAGGAAAGTCAATCTCTCATGTTTTTCAAACTGGGAATCCCAACTGTCTGGGGGCAGGTATATTCTGCAACAGAGTGGCAAGAACCCAGAGAATAAAAATAGATCCTCCTCCTCTCCAGTCCCTCACTTCTTGGTGCAAAAATTCTTTCTTACCACTCTGTAGACATTATCATGAAAGAAAAAGGAGAAGGGGGACCAAGGGAGAGGGCAAAGAACAGAGACAGTGAGAGAACTTGGATAAACCAGAAATGTCAACGCCGTGAGGATACATAAAAGTGCCAGGAAGACTAACAATAGATGACCAACTGTACTGCCCTCTGTGTAATCCAGGGACACATTTTAACTGGGCTTCTAAGACCAGAGACAAGCCTTCTACAATACTTGGCATTCACTGGCAGTAGAATGCCTCTTCCAAGTCTTCTCTTTCACTTACCTTTTTTCTAACAAACCTCTCTGGTTGCTCACCAATTATTCCCTATGGCTGGTCATTTCAAATTGAAAGTGAGATAAACATTTGTCAGCAAATACCAATCACCACCAACTCCTCCACCTTTATTTAGCTCTCCTGAACTAACAGAAGTAGTTTGTGAGGAGAACCCAACTTTAAACCAAAATGATGCAAATCTTTTTACTTCCTTTTTTTTTGCTTGGAAGAAAAGACTACAAGAGCTAGAAATGAAATGGAAATGCTAACAACTAAGTACCACTATGCTAAATAACTCATGTCTAATTCTGGTCTATAAAAAGCTTTTGATAAAATAATATAGATTCCTCAAAGCACACATGTCGCACAGAAAAGTCTTCTGAATGACTCAGGCCTGCATTTTACTCTGAGTACACTTTCAAATTGGTAGGATCAAATCTTTTAATAAAACATTGTCCCTTCATCAAAACAAAGGCTTAAAAAGGGGCACAATACCAGGCAATAACCAACACGGTACAAATCATTAACATTAAACATAATGTGCTTTTCACCTAACTTGCAAAAACAAGGAGGGTGGTAGGGGGAGAAGGGGAAGTAACCACTTATTTATTTATAAAATATATTTTACTGATTATGCTATTACAGTTGTCCCAATTTTTCCCCTTTGTCACCCTCCACCCAATACCACCCTTCTCTCCAGCAACCCATCCTCTTAGTTCTTGTCCACGGGTTGTACATGTAATTTCTTTGGTTTCTCCATTTTGTATACTATTCTTAACACTCCACTGCCTATTTTTTTTTACCTACCAATTATGCTTCTTAATCCCTGCAACTTTCCCTCTATTCTCGCCTCTCCTCCTCCCAGCTGATACCCTCCAAATGGTCTCCACATTTATAATTCTGTTTGGGTTCTGGTTGTTTGCTTAGTTTTTTTCTTTTATTCAATGGTTGATAGCTGTGAATCCGTTACCTTTTTAATGTTCATAGTTGTGATCTTCTTTTTCTTAAATAAGTCCCTTTAACATTTCATGTTATAATGGCTTGGTGATGATGAGCTCCTTTAGTTTTACCTTGTCTGGGAAGCACTTTATCTGCCCTTTCATTCTAAATAACAGCTTTGCTGAATAGAGTAATCTAGGTTGTAGGTCCTTATTTTTCATCACTTTGAATACTTCTTGCCAGTCCATTCTTGCCTGCAAAATTTCTTTTCAGAAATCAGCTGAGAGTCTTATGGAAACGACTTTGTGGGTAACTCTTTGCTTCTCTCTTGCTGCTTTTAAGATTCTTTCTTTATCTTTAATCTTTGGCATTTTAATGATGCGTCTTGGTGTGGTCCTCTTTGGGTCCAACTTGTTTGGGGCTTTCTGTGCTCCCTGGACTTGTATGTCTAGTTCCTTCACTAAATTAGGGAAGTTTTCTTTCATTATTTTTTCCAATAGGTTTTCAACTTCTTGCTCTTCCTCTTCTCCTTCTGGCATCCCTCTGATTCAGATGTTGGCATTTTGGAGTGGCCAGTCTTCTTGTACTATCCTTGGTTTTGTTTTTTTTTTTTTGAATTATCGTTTCTTCCTTGTTCTGGTTGAATGTTTTTTTTCCTTATCTTCCAAATCATTGATTTGAATCCCAACTTTCTTCCCTTCACTGTTGGTTCTCTGTAGATTGTTATCTCTTTTAGTGTAAACCTAATTTCTCCCTGTATGTTGTTACCATATTCACTGAGGTCTTTGAGCATCATGATCCCCAGTGTTTTAAACTCTGTATCTGATGTTAGTTATCTCCATTTTGTTTAGGTTTTTTTCTGGGAGTTTGTTCTGTTCTTTCATTTGAGCTATTTCTTTCTTTTTAAAGATTTTATTTATTTGTTTTTACAGAGGGGAAAGCAGGGATAAAAGCATCAATGTGTAGTTGCCTCTTGCGTGCCCCCTACAGGGAACCTGGCCCACAACCCAGGCAGGCATGTGCCCTGACTGGGAATTGAACCAGTGATCCTTTAGTTCACAGGCCAGCACTCAATCCACTGAGCCACACCAGCCAGGGCTAAACCATATTCCTTTGACTCCTCTAGTTGGCAGCCTCCCTGTGTTTATTTCTGTATATTAGGTAGAGCTGCTTGACTCCCTGTCTTAGCAGTGTGGCCTAATGTAGAAAGTCACCTATAAATTATGTGGTGTTGAGCCTTAAGTAATAGCCAGTGTGGGGTAACCAGCTTCACCACTTTTTGGCTCTGTGTGGGGGGAGGGCTTGGATTCTGTTCACTTTATTTCCCTTAATATCGTGTAAGGTATATTTATCTGCCATTAAATAATTTTTAAAACCACAAGTTGTAATAGATGGTTATTTAACCAGTCTATTAATGGACAGCCTTCAACATCTGCATCTTTATTTCTATAAACTAAGTTCTGTAAGTGATATAACTGAGTCAAAGGGTATAAAACAGTTAAACAGTATCTGGAAGGCTCAATTGTCCTCTCTTAACATGTTGGCAAAGCAACTAATTGGTATTAACAATCATGAAATGTACTAAGTTATTTAAAATGCACTTATATAAGTTGATTTAATTATGTTCTGGAACAATGAATTCTCTAAACTGATCATACACTGTATAAGAAAGTAGCAAGAGTCATTATTTTAAATGCTTTGCTCTGTAATTGTAAATATTCCACATACATTATAAAACAGAACAGAAAAATATATTGATTTTATTTTACTCCACTATTAATGGATTAAGCCAATGCAAAGATAATAGTCTACAATTCATTTTCTAATTATGCTCTGAGAAAGCCCTTCATTGGGAGAAATCCTTTATTTCTTCATCCAAATACCAGGGAATACAATTTGACAACTGAAGTACTTTTATATATTTCAATACATGTTTTTAATGCAAATATCCCAACTAAGTGTTTTCACACACTGCCCATAATTTGCCCCAGGATTATATATCTAAGATGTAATAGAGTCATACACACACACACACACACACACACACACACACACATTTCATTGCTGAAAAGGATATATTCTGAAATACACATACACATACCACTGAGGAGGCATCATTAGTTCTCTTCTATGTTTTTTGCAAAAGTACACATTAGCACCAACAAAAAGTCCTAAGTAGTTTTCTAAAATGTCTGTTACAATACTTAAACACCTAAAAGCATATGCAAATTTCAATGTTTTCATCTTTATCTTTATTCTGACTTTTTGCCCAGAAACCTAAAATAACTTGGACAAATTATGCTATTTTTTACATTATGAGCAAAATCATAAAATGGGAATAAATTCAAGCACAGGATGCATTCCATGGTAGGTAGATACAATGGAGCTAATATGTGTTTGCCAAGCATGATAGAAATATAAAACATTATCCAGGACATGCAATGATAAAAACTAGGTCGTTTACCAAGAAATCCCTTAGATCTTTCCTTGACTTGTATTATTTATGACTCATAAACTACCAGTTTGGCAATCCTAAGAGTTAGAGAAACTACTAAATTTAAGTATGTCAGACAAAATCAGGAAGGAAACGATCTATAGCAAAGACAAAGAGCATTGCAGTCAGTAAGAATTGTCCATTGGCACTTCCACCAAGATGGAAGCATAGGTTGAAACACTTTGCTTCCTCACACAACCAAATCTAAAAACAGCAAAGTTTTAACAACAATAAATGCAACTAACCTACAGAAAACTGAACAATACAAGGTCAGAAAACAACGAAATGCTCAGCTAAACCGGTGAGAGGGGTGAAGCCAGCAGTAGAGCAGGGTCAGGCAAAAAAGATCCCTTGACCCGGGCTGCTCGCAGGCAGCCGAGGGCCCCGATCCCAGGTGCGGGGTAGCTATGGGCAGACCCAGGGAAGGCATGGCGCAGCTGGCTGTCTGCAGTCACACATTTGCGCACAGATAAACCAGTGAAGAGACGAGCATTGAGAAAGACCCGGTACAGGGCGGCAGGCTCGCACATTTGTACTCAGATAAACGGGCAGGGGTGAGCAGTGAGGCGGCCGGGGCGAGCAGAGAGGACTGCCATTGCTCCCTTTCTGACCCCGCCCCCACATACAACATCACAAACCAGCGACCTGGGTGGCCCCGTCCTGGTGAGCACTTAAGGCGCCTCTCCTCATACATAACAGGCACAAACAGATCAAAGAACATGGCTCAAGAACAGCTCAGAGCCTCAGAGCTGATAAATCTAAGTGATCAAGAAATTTCCAACCTATCAGAGGCACAGTTCAAAACACTGGTGATCAGGGTGCTCACAGAACTGGTTGATTTTAGTCACAAATTAGAGGAACATATGAAGGCTAAACTAATTGAAATGAATGGAAATGCACAGGAAACCAAAAGTAATAGAAAGGAAACTGGGACTCAAATTAAGGGAGTGGACCAGAAGGAAGAAAAAAATGACCAAACAGAAAAATATGAAGAAACAAGAATTCAAAAAATGAGGAGAGGCTTAGGAACCTCCAGGACATTTTTAAATGCTCCAACATCCAAATTATAGGAGTACCAGAAGAGGAAGAGGAACAGCCACGAGTGGAAAACTAATTTGAACA